GAAAATCTCAAACATCTAGTTTCTAGTTAGAGGATGACCAGGGGTCAGCAGACACAACTTGATCCTCAAGAGCAACCGCGAAAGAGTCTGTATGATGTGGTAAGGAAAGCTCATCTGAGTTACTGACCTACAGGTGAAGACATACAGCGGCCCTGTGAAGCCAACATTGTGCGCACAGGTACCACTGCCAGCCAGAAAAAAATTGCTTTTGTATATACATCTATTTCTCCACCTCACATGACAGTTTCCTTGGTTTCTTCTGAAAGCAAACACTTCAAATTCTACCTTGTAATTTATCACTGCTTTCTCCCCTTTGGAAGTGAGAATCAAGGCAAAGGAAATGTGGAAAGACTCCAGTGTGTACGGTTGTTTTTATTTCCCATCCCTTCATGTTGCCTGTTAATATTTACTGAGCTCCATCTGGTATCACTAGCACCACCAAGTACACTGTATTAAAGAATCTTCAAAATAAGCAAACTTTTTGAGAATGAGGCTTGACAAAATCTTAAGGCATATACTTCACAATACTAACAGACTAAGGGTGTAAAAGTGGAGATGATGATTTCAGATTCCTGGGAGAAAATCCCCAGGCCTGGAAGAGCCAGTGGAAAGTAATCAAGTACCAGACTGATGTCATTCTGATGAAAGGCAGCCTGTCAGACAGTTGGCAATGATAGGTGCTCTTTGGCATGGACCACAGCCCACTATACACCGAAATATGACATCAAAGGATCAAAGGCAGGTGCTAGGCCAGGCCAAGAGGCTGGCACTGATCATTGTCTGCTTTGATTACAATAGCCTCATCTTCTTCATGAGAAAAGAAAAGAAAACGAAGAAAGCGGCTGCTTGGTGTTAGAACAAATAATGAGGCACATACCATGGCATAATGACGTCCCAGTGGTTCAGTGAACTGAAACACATATTGTGTACTCACAACATTATGGGCCAATTTCCCACATTAAGTCAGATTATAGTTGTTTTCAGTGAATATTTCCAGCGAATGTTGGCTTCAGTCTAGGAGTCTTAATCCCTGTCTGAAAAAACTGGCACCAAGAACATCTGATTTATGTTGGATGCCAAAAACTTTCTCCTTCGTATTTTTTATTAATATTTCTAAAACCAAACTAAAACAGAAATCCTTTCAAAATAAGGGTGATACTGAACTCTTCCTACTTACATTCTTTAAAGTCTACAGGCTCAAAAACAGTTTCAGCTCTCACAAAATTGAATAATGACCATGTTTTACAGCAGGGTGTGGACTTCAAAAGAATCTCCCCATAGAGACTAGCAGGTTAAGCAAAAGAAAATGAATAATGTGTTGTGGGTCTTCTGTCATAATCTGTAATACTTTTTTATGTCCTTTGGCAAATCTTCGGCTCAAATAAACATTTCCGAGACAAAAGGGTCTGATTCTCTTTCTGTCTGTGCCGGTGAGAATAGGCGCAGGGGAAGGAGTGCTGCCGCCTCTCTGGTGATAATAATAGCAGGTCTCGAGTGGTAATTGGTCTCTGCACCCTCTTCTGTCGCTACCTGTCAGAGGGCATTGCAAAGGGTGATTCAGGCACAAGGCATGAATGGAAATGTCCTGGGAGGACGGCCGCACATTCACGCGTTTGTACCTCCAAGACAGACAAATCTACCTCACTCATCATCCTGTACATCAACACATTCCTATGCACATGCTGGCACACACACGTGTACTCCCACCACAACAGACGCAAACATCCATCTTGCTTAGTATGAATGATGTGACAAGAATTGTTTACTGGCAACAGCAGCTATTTTGCAACCACCATTCAGATGAAAGATGAACAACAAACAGCTGACCTGTCAGATGAACTATCTGGTTACCCCTTGGTGCCAGAGAGACCCCTAATGCAAGCCGTCCTATCTTGAAAGAGCTAATTTTTATCAAACAGGGCATCATCTGTAACCAATAGACAGCCTCCGCTTACGAAATGAGAGCCTGCTCGACAGATGTCTCCTGATCTTTCTTACTCTTTCTTGCTCCCTATTTACATCCAAATCTTAGATGGCACCTCTTGACTTAAATCAGGATCAAGGTTGTTTACCAGTTCTCTGGGTAGTATCGGGAACATGTGGTAAGGGTACATGAAAGGAGCTCGACAGTGTAAAGACCCTTGTACATGTTTGTTTTGGATTTTAGACAATAGCTTAAACACAAATTTAAGGGGACCCGCTTCCGGAGATATGCCTTAAGGTGACACAGAAGCTGAAGCTCAAAACATTTTCACTGGGGTGGAGAGCCTCAGATTTCAAAGCTCCTTAACACTGTAGACAGATCCACTCGTGAATGACATTATCATTATGAAAACCTAAATATCTTTTTTTGAAAAGCTACTATGAGTTTTCTTCTTTCACATGCTGTACAGTGACCTCCCTCTACAGCAAGCAGCAAATTACATGTCTGGTACAGTAAAGAAATGTTAAGCATAGGAGGAACTAAGTCATTACTACAGCACACACAAAACGTTCGAAGGTTTCAACAGCTTTCCAACTAATTTGTAACTCCATTCGTATTCTGTACATTTCCAGCTTCCTTTCCTTCCTAGCAGATTTCCACACTTGAGCAATTTATAACATAATACCACTAAGAATCAAGCTTTGCTGTTGTGACCTTCGTGGGATTTAGAGCTACAGTCGAGTCCATAAAACGATATCATTTTATGTTGCTGCTGTGTAGTTTGTGTGCTCTATGTAGAACAGTGTGGAAACTTAAAGGAATTTAAAAGAACTCTACTATGAAATATAAAAGTTTTATAGATAGTGATCTCTCCTTTGTTCTTCCTACGAGGACCTTCACCTGTTTCTGATGATGTGAGCCAGAGCCTGTCCCTTTCAAGAGCCTGATCCCTCCTGATCTCTTTGATGTAACCTGACCTAACAGTTCCAACTAGCAGGATTTGATGATCACGGATGGACCCTGGACAACAGCACGTGCAAATCAGAACTAACAGGCACTGGGAGATGGACGATGGGGGTGTGTGAGCAGAACTGGCAAGCCGTGTAGACAGACAGCGCTCACAGAGGTATGATGTGTCTAAACGCCAGGCAGTCACATGACCAACACTGCCAGCCCAGACTTAAGCAGTAAAACCTGTGGATCTGTGAGGGCACATGCAACTGATCGGAGATGAAAGACAGGCTTTAACTTTCACAAGAGGCCTGGAGCTGGGGTGAGGGCTATGGGGGTTACGGGGCTACGGGGCTACAGGGCTACGGGGGCACTTCTGACGGACTGCCATCAGAACAGCTGGGTCATTTTCAAATGACCTAAATGAATCCATTCCAACTTCCATGGTAAAATCTGGGTCTATGCTGCATATAGATGATGAGAAGTAAAGAAAAAGAGAGAGAGAGAATTGCCAGTGAAAGGCAAAGAGTTCAAACAAGGTGCTCAGTACAGAACAAACCACTGTGCACCGACACTGGCAAAGCTTACCACCGTTTCAGTCTGTCTCCAGTCTCATTCTGTCAGAAACCTTCATGTTCTCTCTCCCAGCACACACTTCTCCCTCATTGGGTTCACAGACACTTCCACACACCGCTGTGACATCTCTTCATGGTGGTGCGGTTGTCAGAACTCAGTATCCATCTGCGAGTGATTTAAGAGGTTATATCTTTGAGGATGATCTGTGATATAACAGGGAAGTATGGGTCAAAGTGACTAGAGTCAGTCTGTGACAGAGCCTCTCCTCCTGGGCCCTACCACATGTTTTAATCTATACCAGCATCTGTTTGAAGTTCCCAGTGCATACCATCAGTCCTGCTGGTGACTTCATATCCATCTTACCTGGCTCAGAACAGTTTGACATCCTTTAGGCACATGGCTATAGATGGCAAAATAGGACATGAAGCTATTTACAGTCATGCTGTGGTTATATCAGTATTTTCAAACATTATCACCTCTTCCTAAAGTAATATACTGTACTTTTCTTTATTTAAAAAAAGTCACAATTCCCTTGTGCCAAACCAAAAATTCAACTGCTTTTTTCCATTTCAGCAATGACGCCCTCATTGTTTGTCGCTCACCAAATGAGATTCACTAATGTCTGAAGAAATACCTCTCGGTTAATAATGTTTTGCATTTGACTTCAGAAACGTCCCTTAAAACAAAGCTGAATTACAGCGCAAGTCTCAGTTTCATCTGATAAGAAAGAGTTCACTCAAAGACAAATTCCACCCAAACAGCACCACAAAGTATTAACTTGATAAATAATTATTTTGGTCTAGGTTTTAACATAAATGTGTCCTTAGAATGATAGGTTTGTTAGAAGAAAGACTACTTCAGTCATAAGGAGGAATACTTAAAATATACAGTAGCCCAGGAAAGTTTGGAAGAGACTGAAGTGGGAGGAAGGAGGCGAGAGGAGGGGGGAGAAAGAGTGATGGTTGCTTTGATCTTAGGAGGCCCAGTCTGGAGATTAAAACACACACACACACACACACACACACACACACACACAAGTGTCCAAGTCCCTTTTAAACTAAACAAAGCAACTCAATTAGTCTGAACTGGAAGTGACTGTAATAGATATGTTTTTGTTTGTTTGTTTATTTGTGAGGTGGAAGATGATATTCTATTAAAAATATCATAAATAATAGCAATAATAACAATAACTTCCCTTATTTAACCTGGTTAAAAATGATTTATCCAAATAGTTGGATGTGTGCAAGAGTTTTGATTATGTTTTATTTTCCCCCACTTTGGTTTGGGTGTTACAAAATGTGCATTCTCACCTCATAAATTTTGGGTGGAATGGGAAATGGACATTTCAAGGCCAATAAAAGCCACCACATCAAATAAAACATTGTGGATCAAAGGAACATTTTTTCCCTCTATAAATTAAAAAAGTAGTCTGCCACGCTTGAAGATACCCCGAGTCCTGCCCCGCACTTGCGATTGGCTGAACGGACACACAAGGGGGGAAAGTTTGAATAAAATACAAGAGCATGGCACAAGTGTTGTCTTTCAAGCGTGTGCGCTTGGTCCAGCAGCTTGTACTTTGGGCTATAGATGGGCGAACAGTTATAGCTGCACTCTTTGCAAGTTTAAGATTTATGCAGATAATTCAACGTATGGTTGCTTCTCACCTCACGGGACTTTTTATTTCAGTTCAAATTAGATGTGTGCGTTTCTGGGAGCGAACAAGTGTATTTTAAACGGTGCGTAACAGTCGTTTCTTTCTCAGCTCCATCAGTAACATTTGGTTTCCCTAACGAGACGCTGCATTTGGAGGAAGGACATCTAACAGTGGATAAGATGACAGCGATCAGAATGGTTTCATCAGTGCTACTGCTGGTGTTGGTGCAGTCCGGAGGTCTTTGCGCACGGAGGTTCCGGGGTGGCCGTAACCCACAACCACGACGGGCACCGCCTAATCCGACATACCGGGCAGATCGGGGTGACACCACAGAGAGCTTCCCTTTGGATTTCACCGCCGTGGAGGAAAACATGGATAACTTCATGACACAAGTCAAGAATCTTGCGCAATCCCTGTACCCGTGTTCAGCGCAGAAGCTGGACTACGACATGAAGCTGAATTTTTTGGAGAATACATCAGTCACCTGCAACGACGGAAGTCCTGCGGGGTATGTACCAACTGAGAATAACATTACAGTGTGATAAATAATGATTCCCATGTGTTTGGACCACCAACTGGTCAAAGCACACCAGCTGTGGAGCTATCAGGAATTGTTACTGTGCTTAAAGAGCACTTCAGCAATGCGCACCACGTCTTGTTGGCCATCCTGCTGACCTGGGAACAGCAGTGCTAGTCTCCATATACCCTACTGTAATTTCTAAAGTGCGCACGATCGACTACATTTGTTCTGGTTGCTGCAAGTTGTTAGAACGGGTCAAGCGATTCTTAAAACATTACCTTTTTTTAAATAAAGCTAAATTGCAGACATAAGACAAATCAGATAACTGGGAGAAGTTTCAAAACAAAGCAAGGACAGAATAAAGTTCAGTCGGGATGAGACAGACAGCTGCTTCGTTTCCTTTTCTCCAACTAATAATGAGGATTTGCTCAGAGAACTCAGCTTTAAGTTTTCAGACCCCCGCCCATCACACTCTCTCTGATGACTGGAACCACTGCGCAAACTGTTGAGTTGATTTTGCAGCGGTTTGATAGGCTAATGTGTTTTCTCTGCTTGGCAACTGTAGGTAAGGAAAACGTACACACTTTTCTGTCAGTTGTGTCTGTAGTTCTGAGTTTGTGCCTAATAAAAGATTTTAACCTTTGGTCAGTGGGGTCAATGGATCAGGAATCCTTTTTGCAGTAAGAAAGCTTGCATGAGTTTGCTACTATGGAGGGATAAGCATATTGACATCAGACATGCACACTATCTCAATTACTGAATAATGCATTAGCAATGTTATATAGACTCTGTTTTATGGTCCATTTGGTTGCAAGGACAAACTATGGGTTAAACGCATTTCTATACAAACACTACTGATACTTGAGTTTAATCAAAAGACAGTTGGAAAAGGTATCATTTTTAATACCCATATGTCTTTACATAAATGTCTTTTAATGTCCAGTGACAGAATATTTTACTTGTCTCAGCCTGCCGACATATTATCGTGCATCATAAGATTAAAGTACCACAGTGATAGGACTGTAGTTAAATTGGGTAGTAATATCATACTGAAAAACATTGTTTAATATGTTGTGTAGTCTTTAGTGTTTGCAGTTACCAGTATTATAGTTTAATACATGCTTTACTGTTAATGTTGCTGGTGCCATATCAGGCGGCATTAATGACTGTCTGGTGTTGTACATATGAACTTGTCTGGGACCAGTTCACTGATGGGTAGACTTGGCTAAAATGGGTTTTGATATACAAATACCTTTGTGGATTAAGTATCCTGTCGAATTCCTGTTAAACCTCAAAGTGCCTGGTAGAGAGAGCTGTGCAGTAAAGCTCTTAGGTCTTTAGAGATGCAGCATGAGGATGGGAGCAGGGGACAGTTACCTGGCAGATGGCCAGTTCATTCATGAACTACTAACAGTATTTTCCAAAGTGGTACTGTCACAGTTACAGTCAAACAAGGGTGCAAAATTTAAAAAATAAAAATAAGAAAAAAGCACCGGATAGGAACTTTGTGATTCATCTTCTGGAGCTGCACTTGTTAGAGTGAGTGTGTTAAAGCAGCGCCTTTCCCTCTGGGCTTGTTCAGCTTGCCAAGTCCGCCTTCACTTTGTTGTTTGGAAGTAGTAAGTAGAATGCTCTGTCCTCAGCCTACATCATTGACTGTGGTTCACAATAATAGTAGACGACATAAACTGCAGCCAAAATGTGATTCACTGTCTGCACGAACGCAGCTTCAGCCAAGTTTGTTGTTTACTCGATCGTACAGTGGGTGGATACTGAATGAGTTTAAAAAATAAAAAACACATCTTGGTGTTACACAGGTGCATCTTGAGCTTCTCGGTCCTGCCGCTTAAGGTACTTTAAACACCATGTAGTAATGTTTAATGAGATTCATTTGTTATGACAAACTAATGACTTTTTCCTGGTATTGACACTGAACAAAAATCCTGCTCCAAAAAGGATGATGATGCATGTCCTGCAGCATGAATCACAATAGCATTGCCCTTTTCTAGACTGACAATGCAACTCCTATATTCTACCGCCCATGAACATGTTTTTAGTTCAATTTGCACAAACATTTACTTTGTCATACCCAAGGTGCATTTAAGGGGCAGTATCTTGAGCACAACAGACAGTTTTATATCATTACTATGGGAGAGAGCGATGATTTTTATCCATGTTGTGTGTGAGGACACTGCTGAGGAAAGATAAGGGCTGAGTGAAGAGACTTTGATGGTATATTACTTATTCTTTCTACATTAAACAAGAGGAATACCATCTACTGGTATCTACAGTACAAACAGGATAGGGGGACAGAATGGTGTTTATCTCATGTTTGATCACTAGATCAGTTTCCTAAGTGCAGAATATACACACAACGTCTGTACTTTCTTCTGCGCACTCGCTGAAGTCACGTTGGTGGAATTTCTGTTTTGCTGTTTTCTATCACCTTTTAGAGACAGGAATCAACAAAGAGCAACCACAACAACATTGTTTAGACAGAAATGATGATGTCATATGTGTTTTTATTTCATGCTTAGATGCCATCACTGATGACAGAAACAGGGAGGGTGTTATTGTCAGTGGTTACCTCATATTTTTATCTCTGAATATAAGACTCTACACAATAACAAAACTGGGAATCGTCTCTCTCTGTTGTTTAAATACTGTCATACAGGCAGAATACTGTAAAATTAGGATCTTTTAGAGTCTTTTCTCACATATTTTCAAAATTTTCATTCAAATAAATGACACAACTACTCGGATGAGGTGATTTTATATTTTCTAATCTCTTACAGATACTACCTGAAAGAATCTAGAGGCAGCAGACGGTGGCTGATATTCTTAGAGGGTCAGTATTAAAGATGAATTTAACTAATGTCATTTCATATCATCAGCTAAAAAAAAGATGCCTAATTTTGCACAATTTGTGTAAGAACATATCCATGCTGTGTTTATGTATCTATGTCCAGGTGGCTGGTACTGCTTCAACAAGGAGAACTGTGATAGCCGATATGAGACCATGAGGAGACTGATGAGCTCGTCCAAATGGCCACAAACTAAAACAGGTCGGCCTTGTTTAACCTGTGGAATTCACTGCATTTCCATAAGCACTGCTGTTTCTCCATCCATACCAAAGCCTGACATCCTCACACAGTGAAAAATCACCCAGTTCCCACCGTAATAAGTAATTAAAAGGATCAGATGTAACTGTACTCATCTGTGGTGTTATTAAGACTGACAGCCGGTCATATAGCTGTGGTGCACGGCTACCTGGCGCCCGCTTCAGAAAGAACGGAGACACCTCCCTCTCTCATTTCAGTGTAATAACTGTAATCCATGTGGTAATGATGATGAGGAAGAAGAGGATGTGTCTGGGAGTGCCAGGATGGTTAATGATACATGCTGATCTGTCTCTGTAGGCACGGGGATCCTGTCTCCTCTGCCTGAGGAAAACCCTCACTGGTGGAATGCCAACATGGTGTAAGTTGACCCGTGTTTGCGTGCATATTGATGTTTAATCTATAATTTTAGTCTGCTGCAGCTTTAATCTTATATTGTTTGTGCAGGTTCATCCCATACTGCTCCAGTGATGTATGGAGTGGTGCTACAGCCAAAACAGATCAAAGTAAGAAATGACTAGATGATCAAAATCATGTATTTATCTTTACATAATGTGTTATCCAACAGTCCCACTCTCGTGTGTTGTGTGTAGGTGGCTATGCCTTCATGGGCTCACTGATCATTCAGGAGGTCGTGAAAGACCTGTTAAACAAAGGTCTGGATAATGCCAAGGTCCTCCTACTAGCAGGAAGCAGGTATGTTCATGTGTGAAAAATTGGTTAGAAATTCAAAAGCTACATGTTATGCATATTGCTCTATAGGTGCTAATATGTTCCTGTTTGCAGTGCTGGTGGTACTGGGGTTCTGCTGAATGTGGACCGTGTGGCAGAGCTACTGGAGGGATTAGGGTACACTGGGATACAAGTTCGAGGTTTGTCTGATTCTGGCTGGTTCCTGGACAACAAGCAGTACCACTGCACCGACTGTGTGGACACTGTCGGCTGTGCTCCCACTGAGACCATCAAGAGAGGCATCAAGTAAGGGAGCCAACCAATGTTATCATTATATATTAAAGGTCAAGAGTGTGAAAAAGAACTAATAATATTTTAATCTGATGAGACGATCACCAAGTTGCTAATAGGGACATCATTTTTATTTGTACTTTTAACCTGGTCCTTCAGGTATTGGGGAGGAGTGGTACCAGAGAGGTGCAAGCAGACCCATGCAGCAGAGGAGTGGAACTGTTTCTTTGGATACAGAGTCTTCCCATCAATAAAAAGTGTGTTTGGGTTCTCATTCAGTATGATGTAAAAAGCAGACACCATACCTGCTGATGTTATTGTGCTTCTTTATAAAACCTTACAGTATATGAATCTTCCATTCTCCTCGTGTAGGCCCTGTCTTTGTGGTGCAGTGGCTTTTTGATGAGGCCCAGCTGACAGTGGACAACATCCAGCTAACAGGCCAGCCTGTGCAGGAAGGCCAGTGGCGCTACATCCAAAACCTGGGCATAGAGCTGAGGAACACACTCAAAGATGTCCCGTAGGTTTATTCTCTACTGTAGGAAGAGAATTTTGGTAGGTTTATTGCATGGATTCAGACTGACTTGTTTTGGTTTGTTTTTCTCTTTTCAGGGCTATGTTCGCTCCAGCATGCCTCTCTCATGAAGTTATTACCAGAAAGTGAGTATGATTTAATTTTCACACCTCTGTTTCCAGTCTATAATTATTATGGGGCATGAAACTTTGTACTTGGGACATTCTACCTCTGAGCTGACAGCGCCCTCTTGTGTTGTGTTTTAGTTACTGGATTGATGTGCAGGTGAAAGGCACCTCCTTGCCCCGAGCACTGCACTGTTGGGACCGGAGCCTCCACGACAACAGGAACAACAAGGCTCCACCCAAAGGTTGCCCTGTGCATTTGATTGACAGCTGCCCATGGCCACACTGCAACCCCACCTGTCCGACCATTCGAGACCAGTTCACAGGACAGGAGATGAACGTCATTCAGTTCCTCATGCACATGGGCTTTGATGTGCAGAAGATGGCCCAGCAGCAGGGTATGGACCCCAGCAAGTTACTGGGCATGCTCAGCAGCGGCAGCTAAAGGGACATGCACACTCAGTATCTCCAAGCTAAGCCCCAGCCGGGCTGCCTGGACTCTCTGGCCAGTCTCCCATCTGCCTGATACCTCCAACTGCCCATCCACCTTCACAACACATTCTACCTGTGGTTTATTCCCCTCTGACCACCTGTTTACTTAAGCCCAAATCTCAGTCATACAAAGGGGGTTTGATTTGTCCCACAATCCCTTTACTCACAGCTTAGTACTGGTGACAACAGTAGGGGCAACACCATCCCAAGGCACAACTCTCAATTTAAATTATCTTTTGCTTTGTAAAAGAAAAATATATTACAAATGTAATCCAGTTTTAAGGATATTGTTTTGTGTCTTATATTACTTTCATCCTTCCATATAGATTATTTTTACTCACTGTTAAAAAAAATGAAAAAACTACAATGACATAAGGATGCTAACCTACATCAAGCCAGAAACAGAGGAGCATGATAAGCTGGGAAAAACACTGGATCAGGAAGGATATTTTGTGTGCAAATTTTAAAAAAAAAAGGCAAAAACAACAAAGAGAGACAACTGACACCAGCACTACTCGAATCAACTCACTGTATAAGACAAATCTGGATTAACACGCTCTTCACAAAGTTAGGCTACTGAAATTAAAGCCACAAAGAGACAAATATCTGATCTCAGCTATAATGAAAGCAACTAAAAAGAAAAAAAGTCAGAAAAGGGGAGACAGACAATGCTACACACTTTATATTACTGTTGTGACTATAATGCGATATAAGTAAAAGTCCCTGTAGCGGTAACTCATTCCCGACAGTGGTTTATCCTCAACAGCTACAAAGATGTCATGATGTCGTGTCGTGCTCTGAAACTGATTGTGGTGCTAAAGTGGACCTGGGAATACTTTTAAGGTCTATTAACAGTTATATATACACCACAGTGCCATTACATCTAGTGTAAACCTCTTTGTCACAGGCCACTGGGCACCTCAGTGGTTCAGTAGTCCTCAGATCAATGCAATTAACATTTAAAGGGAGACAAAATTTGTGATATAAATATATATATATATATGAGTATTTGTATAAGTTCTTTGAAACTATTGTACCTCTCTTCTTATATTTCATAATAGAGATCACTTTTAATATAATGACAATGTTGTATGTAATGATGTCTTTATAAATAATGTTTTTTTAAGGACCTCTATTTCACATCACACCAGTGAAGAAAAGGTATTACTAATTGTAATTTTATTCTGTAACATATTTTTTAAACAGAAGAAAACTCAAGCTACTTTGGTAATTTACATATTTATTTTGTTATGTAAATCATATTTATAAGTGCCATTTTCACAGAGAAGTGATTCTTTGTAAATTGTAAATATAATGCTGTTTTTTTTCTCTTTGTGTTGATTGCATGTGTTTGTATCAGACCTAAAAGAAAAGACACATTACATATACTACAAGGTAAATATTCCTGTGCAGTCTTGTTATTATTACTGTGGTGATGCTTTTTACTGCTGTTATTTGTACTAGTTATAGTAGGAGTAGTAGCAGTAGTAGGACTGTGTATAGTGTTAATATTTACACATACGTATACTCTATGTGATATGAGGCTTATTGTACACACATGGACAATCCAAAGGCTTTTGTAAAACTTTTTTAAATCTCAAGAAACCTGGCCAGTATCATCCTTCCATCCATTATCTATACCAGGGATCCTGAACAGGGTCATGGGGAAAAAATCCTGCTCCAAAAAGGATGATGATGCATGTCCTGCAGCATGAATCACAATAGCATTGCCCTTTTCTAGACTGACAATGCAACTCCTATATTCTACCGCCCATGAACATGTTTTTAGTTCAATTTGCACAAACATTTACTTTGTCATACCCAAGGTGCATTTAAGGGGCAGTATCTTGAGCACAACAGACAGTTTTATATCATTACTATGGGAGAGAGCGATGATTTTTATCCATGTTGTGTGTGAGGACACTGCTGAGGAAAGATAAGGGCTGAGTGAAGAGACTTTGATGGTATATTACTTATTCTTTCTACATTAAACAAGAGGAATACCATCTACTGGTATCTACAGTACAAACAGGATAGGGGGACAGAATGGTGTTTATCTCATGTTTGATCACTAGATCAGTTTCCTAAGTGCAGAATATACACACAACGTCTGTACTTTCTTCTGCGCACTCGCTGAAGTCACGTTGGTGGAATTTCTGTTTTGCTGTTTTCTATCACCTTTTAGAGACAGGAATCAACAAAGAGCAACCACAACAACATTGTTTAGACAGAAATGATGATGTCATATGTGTTTTTATTTCATGCTTAGATGCCATCACTGATGACAGAAACAGGGAGGGTGTTATTGTCAGTGGTTACCTCATATTTTTATCTCTGAATATAAGACTCTACACAATAACAAAACTGGGAATCGTCTCTCTCTGTTGTTTAAATACTGTCATACAGGCAGAATACTGTAAAATTAGGATCTTTTAGAGTCTTTTCTCACATATTTTCAAAATTTTCATTCAAATAAATGACACAACTACTCGGATGAGGTGATTTTATATTTTCTAATCTCTTACAGATACTACCTGAAAGAATCTAGAGGCAGCAGACGGTGGCTGATATTCTTAGAGGGTCAGTATTAAAGATGAATTTAACTAATGTCATTTCATATCATCAGCTAAAAAAAAGATGCCTAATTTTGCACAATTTGTGTAAGAACATATCCATGCTGTGTTTATGTATCTATGTCCAGGTGGCTGGTACTGCTTCAACAAGGAGAACTGTGATAGCCGATATGAGACCATGAGGAGACTGATGAGCTCGTCCAAATGGCCACAAACTAAAACAGGTCGGCCTTGTTTAACCTGTGGAATTCACTGCATTTCCATAAGCACTGCTGTTTCTCCATCCATACCAAAGCCTGACATCCTCACACAGTGAAAAATCACCCAGTTCCCACCGTAATAAGTAATTAAAAGGATCAGATGTAACTGTACTCATCTGTGGTGTTATTAAGACTGACAGCCGGTCATATAGCTGTGGTGCACGGCTACCTGGCGCCCGCTTCAGAAAGAACGGAGACACCTCCCTCTCTCATTTCAGTGTAATAACTGTAATCCATGTGGTAATGATGATGAGGAAGAAGAGGATGTGTCTGGGAGTGCCAGGATGGTTAATGATACATGCTGATCTGTCTCTGTAGGCACGGGGATCCTGTCTCCTCTGCCTGAGGAAAACCCTCACTGGTGGAATGCCAACATGGTGTAAGTTGACCCGTGTTTGCGTGCATATTGATGTTTAATCTATAATTTTAGTCTGCTGCAGCTTTAATCTTATATTGTTTGTGCAGGTTCATCCCATACTGCTCCAGCGATGTATGGAGTGGTGCTACAGCCAAAACAGATCAAAGTAAGAAATGACTAGATGATCAAAATCATGTATTTATCTTTACATAATGTGTTATCCAACAGTCCCACTCTCGTGTGTTGTGTGTAGGTGGCTATGCCTTCATGGGCTCACTGATCATTCAGGAGGTCGTGAAAGACCTGTTAAACAAAGGTCTGGATAATGCCAAGGTCCTCCTACTAGCAGGAAGCAGGTATGTTCATGTGTGAAAAATTGGTTAGAAATTCAAAAGCTACATGTTATGCATATTGCTCTATAGGTGCTAATATGTTCCTGTTTGCAGTGCTGGTGGTACTGGGGTTCTGCTGAATGTGGACCGTGTGGCAGAGCTACTGGAGGGATTAGGGTACACTGGGATACAAGTTCGAGGTTTGTCTGATTCTGGCTGGTTCCTGGACAACAAGCAGTACCACTGCACCGACTGTGTGGACACTGTCGGCTGTGCTCCCACTGAGACCATCAAGAGAGGCATCAAGTAAGGGAGCCAACCAATGTTATCATTATATATTAAAGGTCAAGAGTGTGAAAAAGAACTAATAATATTTTAATCTGATGAGACGATCACCAAGTTGCTAATAGGGACATCATTTTTATTTGTACTTTTAACCTGGTCCTTCAGGTATTGGGGAGGAGTGGTACCAGAGAGGTGCAAGCAGACCCATGCAGCAGAGGAGTGGAACTGTTTCTTTGGATACAGAGTCTTCCCATCAATAAAAAGTGTGTTTGGGTTCTCATTCAGTATGATGTAAAAAGCAGACACCATACCTGCTGATGTTATTGTGCTTCTTTATAAAACCTTACAGTATATGAATCTTCCATTCTCCTCGTGTAGGCCCTGTCTTTGTGGTGCAGTGGCTTTTTGATGAGGCCCAGCTGACAGTGGACAACATCCAGCTAACAGGCCAGCCTGTGCAGGAAGGCCAGTGGCGCTACATCCAAAACCTGGGCATAGAGCTGAGGAACACACTCAAAGATGTCCCGTAGGTTTATTCTCTACTGTAGGAAGAGAATTTTGGTAGGTTTATTGCATGGATTCAGACTGACTTGTTTTGGTTTGTTTTTCTCTTTTCAGGGCTATGTTCGCTCCAGCATGCCTCTCTCATGAAGTTATTACCAGAAAGTGAGTATGATTTAATTTTCACACCTCTGTTTCCAGTCTATAATTATTATGGGGCATGAAACTTTGTACTTGGGACATTCTACCTCTGAGCTGACAGCGCCCTCTTGTGTTGTGTTTTAGTTACTGGATTGATGTGCAGGTGAAAGGCACCTCCTTGCCCCGAGCACTGCACTGTTGGGACCGGAGCCTCCACGACAACAGGAACAACAAGGCTCCACCCAAAGGTTGCCCTGTGCATTTGATTGACAGCTGCCCATGGCCACACTGCAACCCCACCTGTCCGACCATTCGAGACCAGTTCACAGGACAGGAGATGAACGTCATTCAGTTCCTCATGCACATGGGCTTTGATGTGCAGAAGATGGCCCAGCAGCAGGGTATGGACCCCAGCAAGTTACTGGGCATGCTCAGCAGCGGCAGCTAAAGGGACATGCACACTCAGTATCTCCAAGCTAAGCCCAAGCCGGGCTGCCTGGACTCTCTGGCCAGTCTCCCATCTGCCTGATACCTCCAACTGCCCATCCACCTTCACAACACATTCTACCTGTGGTTTATTCCCCTCTGACCACCTGTTTACTTAAGCCCAAATCTCAGTCATACAAAGGGGGTTTGATTTGTCCCACAATCCCTTTACTCACAGCTTAGTACTGGTGACAACAGTAGGGGCAACACCATCCCAAGGCACAACTCTCAATTTAAATTATCTTTTGCTTTGTAAAAGAAAAATATATTACAAATGTAATCCAGTTTTAAGGATATTGTTTTGTGTCTTATATTACTTTCATCCTTCCATATAGATTATTTTTACTCACTGTTAAAAAAAATGAAAAAACTACAATGACATAAGGATGCTAACCTACATCAAGCCAGAAACAGAGGAGCATGATAAGCTGGGAAAAACACTGGATCAGGAAGGATATTTTGTGTGCAAATTTTAAAAAAAAAAGGCAAAAACAACAAAGAGAGACAACTGACACCAGCACTACTCGAATCAACTCACTGTATAAGACAAATCTGGATTAACACGCTCTTCACAAAGTTAGGCTACTGAAATTAAAGCCACAAAGAGACAAATATCTGATCTCAGCTATAATGAAAGCAACTAAAAAGAAAAAAAGTCAGAAAAGGGGAGACAGACAATGCTACACACTTTATATTACTGTTGTGACTATAATGCGATATAAGTAAAAGTCCCTGTAGCGGTAACTCATTCCCGACAGTGGTTTATCCTCAACAGCTACAAAGATGTCATGATGTCGTGTCGTGCTCTGAAACTGATTGTGGTGCTAAAGTGGACCTGGGAATACTTTTAAGGTCTATTAACAGTTATATATACACCACAGTGCCATTACATCTAGTGTAAACCTCTTTGTCACAGGCCACTGGGCACCTCAGTGGTTCAGTAGTCCTCAGATCAATGCAATTAACATTTAAAGGGAGACAAAATTTGTGATATAAATATATATATATATATGAGTATTTGTATAAGTTCTTTGAAACTATTGTACCTCTCTTCTTATATTTCATAATAGAGATCACTTTTAATATAATGACAATGTTGTATGTAATGATGTCTTTATAAATAATGTTTTTTTAAGGACCTCTATTTCACATCACACCAGTGAAGAAAAGGTATTACTAATTGTAATTTTATTCTGTAACATATTTTTTAAACAGAAGAAAACTCAAGCTACTTTGGTAATTTACATATTTATTTTGTTATGTAAATCATATTTATAAGTGCCATTTTCACAGAGAAGTGATTCTTTGTAAATTGTAAATATAATGCTGTTTTTTTTCTCTTTGTGTTGATTGCATGTGTTTGTATCAGACCTAAAAGAAAAGACACATTACATATACTACAAGGTAAATATTCCTGTGCAGTCTTGTTATTATTACTGTGGTGATGCTTTTTACTGCTGTTATTTGTACTAGTTATAGTAGGAGTAGTAGCAGTAGTAGGACTGTGTATAGTGTTAATATTTACACATACGTATACTCTATGTGATATGAGGCTTATTGTACACACATGGACAATCCAAAGGCTTTTGTAAAACTTTTTTAAATCTCAAGAAACCTGGCCAGTATCATCCTTCCATCCATTATCTATACCAGGGATCCTGAACAGGGTCATGGGGAAGCTGGAGCTAATCCCAGCTGACACTGAGCGAGAGGTAGGGTCCACCCTGGACAGGTCGCCAGTCTGTCACAGGGCTGACACTTAGAGACAGACAACCACACATTCACTCCTACAGGGAATTTAGAGTCACCAGTCAACCTAAGCTGTATGTCTTTGGACTGTGGGAGGAAGCCAGAGTACCTGGAGAGAACCCACACAGGCACAGGGAGAACATGCAAACTCCACACAAAAAGGCATCAGGTCAGCCGGGGCTCAAACCTGTGCCACCATGCCACTCTGGCCAATCGCATAAAACAAAAACAATTAAACAACAAAACGAATTTAGAAATGTTGGCATTTTTAATATAACTAAAACTGAGCTATACCTAAAAAGACATGACCTGATGAAGTGATAAGCTCAAACTTAAAATACCCAGTCGATAATACATTTTCCAGTTTCACTGCACCAAAGATCTTATATTTACTAGTTAAAGCAAGTTGCTGTTTGGTAACTGCAATTCCCATCATCTACCTGCCCTGCATCAAAACACTATTTAAATGGTCATTTTCTTATATTATGATTTTTACCAGCTGTATTTCTTTGTTCCATTTATCATAAATATTGTTGTGATAAACAGACTGCAGTTGTTTATCCATGTGCATTTCAATCACCTATTCCCAAATCATTGCAAGGCATTAACCAAACAACTGGGAGCAACTTGAGCAGTTTCTTGCTCAAGGTCATTTCGGCATGTGGTCTGGAGGAGCCACATTTTGAACCACTAACCCTGTGATTAGCAAGGGATCTGCTGTACTTGCTGAACCACAGCAGTCTTTCCACAGCATTATCAACTTCAGATTTTGTTGCAGATCTACGTATACCACATTTTCTGCTGTGCCAGGTGTGTGCTAGCTCTAAACACCATTTAAGTTACTTGGCACTACTGCACCGATTTAACATTGCACTCAGCAGAAACAGAGACAATGACTTTTTTAAGTTCTTCACAAGCTTCTTCCTTGTCAAAATCTACCACCTACATTACCCAAAATGCAATGCAACAATTTGGTCAGAGGTTCAGATGTTATCCTATTAGCAGCTAATGTAGCCTCAAGGTGCTACCCTATCAGTGCTCCTCAGAGAGCAAATATAACAGTGCCTGATTCCAAACTTATGTATAAAATAAATATGCAGTCCAGTTAGAGTTGTGTAATTAGTAAGAGTAATAAATCTTGTGCACCATTAATCAAAAATAACTCCATACTATTTTAAAAGGTTAAAGTATTTTAAGTAACTGCTAATCCACTTCCACTTCCCTGTCACATGCATAGCTCAAATCTGTCATTGCTTGTATATAATCATCCCTCTAGACCTATATGCTGCCAGTTTCTTACTGAAGGAGCTCTGACTCAGCCTGTCTGGGTGCTTCCTAGAAATACGACTCCCACACTGCCTGCCACATGTAGCCTCCCACCTCTCTGTGGAATATAGACCCCCTATTTTTAGAGCTGGCAAGGCCTGTAACCCTGGGCTCAGTGCAAACTTTCATTTAAACAGCCACCCCTAGCAATCCACTGACTGCACAGTGACACACACAGAGGAGAGAGAGGGTGTGTGTTTGTGTGAGTAAGAAAGAGTGGGAGCCCAAATCCAAGAGGCAGAAGGAGACGGAAACAGCGAGACAAAGAACAAGAGACAGACCCAACAGTTTGAGTGATTTTGATGGGCAGTTTAGGGCCTATAATGAAGAAATTACAAGGACAGAGTGATTAAGTAATGGAACTTGATTGACAGGACAAGAAACTAAGCCACCTGTTTGGCACTAGGGGTACTGTTGGAAGATTGATCTCTGGATATGACTTACAGAGGAAAGCTTATTGGACAAGACCGTACTTCACTTTGAACTTTTGACACACTGGACAACTTGGTGATTCAAGAGAGCAAGAGCAAGCCAGGGAAAACCAAGAACTCAGAGGACATACACTACTGCTTTGTGTAAGAGCACGATCATATTCTCATTCTCTAAAACATTTTGAAGATACTATAAAAGGACAGATACCAGCATCATATGATTTATAAAAAATAAATTCTATAAACATAATTTAAAGATGTACAACCAAGTAAAGAGAATTGCTTCACATAAAACAACTTGCTGATTAAAAAGATATTATTCTAAGGCCAAACTAATTGAACTTTGCTATTAAAAACATCTATATTACAGCATATAAATCATACTTGATCTTAAGCTAAGCCGCTGTAATTGCAAAGCAAGCTCAGGGGAAAATTACAGATACTTTTAATTAAGGACCGTCTATAAAAGGAAACCAAGAAAAGGGTGAGGTCTGTGACAAAAAGAGAAGGGTAGGCTGCAAGGACATCAAGACAGCCGGGAATCTCCCCAAGAAAAACAGCTGCTCACACACCATGGATCCTCATGGAGGACATTACCTCAACAAAGACGCCGTGTTGTCACCTTTAGGTGTGGCTCGAATGTGCCAGCTGTTACTTGGCTGCACCATAATGGCCCTTGTGTCCCACAGCGCAGGCTACAGCGCCACCTATGGAACATTCTGCATGTTTGTATGGTGCTTCTGCTTTGCTGTGACACTGGTCGTGTTCACTTTGGACATAACTCGGCTCCACACGTGCATGCCCATTTCCTGGGACAACTTCACTGTGGCCTTTGCCATGCTGGCAACACTCATGTACATCACTGCCTCTGTGGTCTACCCTGTTTACTTCCTCCAAACAGAGTGCCCTGATGAGGCCTGTGAGGTCCAAAGCTACCGTATTGCTGTCACTGTTTGCTCCAGTGTCTGCTGCATCCCCTATGGAACTGAAGTCATTCTAACTCGAGCCAAACCAGGTGCGGTGGTGGGCTATATGGCCACTGTGTCTGGTCTGCTCAAGGTGGTCCAGACCTTTATGGCCTGCATCATTTTTGGGGCCCTGGCTGTTGACAATGAGTATAATCGCTACATTGCTACCCAGTACTGTGTGGTGGTGTACAGCCTCTGTTTCTCTGTCACTGTGATAGTGGTCATACTGACAGTTTCTGGAAGGACCTCTGCCTTGCGCTTCCCCTTTGACAGGTTTGTGGTTGTCTACACCTTCTTTGCTGTGATCCTCTACCTGAGTACTGCACTGATTTGGCCCATCTTCAGCTTTGATAAGAAGTACGGCATCACTACTCGACCTGAGAACTGCCCACGTGGAGAATGTCCCTGGGATAGTAAGCTGGTGGTGGCAGTGTTCACCCATGTTAACCTGATCATGTATTTTGTTGATCTTGTTTACTCTCAGAGGATTCGTTTTGTCTCCAGCTCTGCTGTTTAAGAAATTCATTCCTCTTAAGACTATTTAACCTTGAAGACAGAAAAAGGTCTGACGCAACATCCAACATTCTCTACAGGTCAGGTGTCTGTGAAGGTCTCATTCCCTTGGATTAATACATTCATGGTGTTATGTATGTGTGAATTTTTTTATTAGCAGTATTTATCTAGTATTGAGCCTAGCAGCAAACCTGACAGTATTACTCATGGGGGAAAAACACCACACACACTTACAGACCTAAAGGCCTTTGTCCATCTGCAGTGACCTACAGGGAGACCCTGCCAGAAGCCGTGATGAGCCAAGCTCGGCACATGGCCTCTCAGCATCAAACATGACTTTTCTCCACAACAAGACTGTGTTATGGGTTGTGTGTGATATCAGAACAGTGTTATGACAAATAGACTCCTGAAATCGTATGTAGATGTAACAATTTATTTAATGTATTTAATCATTAAAAACGATGGAAATACATTTCATAAACATGCATAGTATACAGTATGTTAAGTTTACAGTATGCACTGAAAAAGGTTTTGGCTCTAACCATTTTGCTGTATTTTCTTCTAAAGTTTTTATTATACTCCTCATATATGTAAAGCCAAATGATCAGATTTACTAGGCTTTTCCTGTTACCCGCTGAATGTTAAATGTATTGAGGCATAACTTTGACAACAGCACCAAACAGATTATTTGGATTCAGCACAGTGAGGTTGTGTAATATTTCTTCTTTTGTTATGTTACTGATAACCTATGTTCAGTGTTTAATAAAATTTCTAATGGTATGTTTTGTTGGTCTTTTTTGCATGAAGTAAATAGGTCTTAAATGTTACAGGTATGCCAATATTTAATTAATCTTTAAGAAGGCAAGACTTTTAACACAGCAACAGAAATCCTAATTAAATTGGTGATGTTTAAGTCAGAATCGAAATTGTTTATGTTGATTGTTAAAATAGTGAAGGCTACATTCATTCATATTAAGTCAAATCACCGTGGCATCTCAATACCTATTATCATTTATAAACCCGTTAAATCTGCACAACTTTAGAAAGGCATCCGAAAAGTATTAGACTGTTTTGTGGGATTGATCAGGGACCCTGTAAAAGTAGGCTAAGCACACATCTGGCTGTTAATTAGGCTACAAGCTGCCTCCCACTGCTTTCTGGGTCAGGATAACTGTCTCCTTTCCCGGAAAACTGTTTCTAACATGCTTATTGACCTTTTCCCCGGTAGATTATAATACAGACATCCTATCAACTGTTCTTCCGCAGCTGATGCAACTGGTTTTCCGGGTGTACAAAGCCCACCCCACATATCTGTGCGACAATGATGATTGGTCAAATATGTCACGTACTGACAAAACGTGCAAGCTCTTTGGTTTGCGCGCTTGTCAGTCAAACCTAACTTCGCAGATGGGAAAACAGTAGGAGACAGCTGGGCCACGTTGACGGTGTAATAATTTCAGGTAATTTTGTTAATTTACCAGTTTGGCAGTCGGTTAATTTAGGAGCTCCTCGGTAAGATTATTAAGAATGTTTTTGTGTAAAATATTTACTGCTAGCAATATGGCTGCTGCTACGGCGTGTTGAGTTTCAGAAATGTCACATCGCTTAGACTATTAAGGAAGTAAGGGATTGTTTACTATTGCAGCACAACAAGCTGGACACCAGTCATTAAGGATCACCATTACTGGGGATTAAAGTTACTGTTTTACACACACAGGTAGAATGAGTGTGGGTTTCATAGGAGCAGGCCAGTTGGCCCACGCTCTGGTGAGAGGTTTCACAGCAGCAGGTGAGTTTTCAATCATACTTTACCATGTATGTATTATTCAGATTTGACTTGTGATGTTAATGTATGTTGATTGCAATCAGACACTGAAATTTGATTTCTGGACATTTCTTCTCTTCCAGGCGTGATTGCCACCCACAGAATCACAGCCAGTTCTCCAGACACAGATCTCCCCACAGTACAGGGACTACGGGTGGGTAGACAATAAGGCTATACCAACAGCCATTACCCCTGTCAAGTGAAATACTAAAAGGCATGTCATTTGTACAGAAACTGGGTGTGAATTTCACCACAAGCAACAAAGAGACAGTGAGCAAAAGTGATGTACTCTTCCTGGCAGTGAAGCCCCACATCATCCCGTTTGTACTGGATGAGATTGGACCTGACATTGAAGATCGTCACCTTATTGTATCTTGTGCAGCAGGTGTCACCATTAGCTCAATAGAGAAGGCAAGTCATAGCCCTCTGTCTTTCTGTGTTACTAACTGAACAGAGATTTTTAACAGCAGAACTGAATGATATTGACAAAATGTTTTTTTTCTCACATACAGTATAGTCATTGTACAAAACAGTACCTATAACAATTAGTGCATGTACAGTATTCAGTTTAGGTATAGAGCAGGTAGATGTATCATAATGATAACCCTGCTCTTAAAGCTTTGAATAAGTTCAGCCTTACGGCACACTGTGGCACAATATTAGCACAAGGTTCAAACTGTGTTTTTATCATCTGTTCTCAGCGTACCCTTAGGCAGTCACATGTTCTTCTAAAGTAGGGGTTATTTGCTTGGTATTGAAACAGTGACGCATTTCATTTTAATAAAATCCGGTATATAAAGGTATATTGTGTAAATATCCACAGGGTTTACACTTTTAAAGGCCAGTATGAACTTGAGGAATAATAACAGCAAGCAAAACTGTTTTAGCATTCATATGCATGTTTTAAGACAGGCTTGAAAACTCGTGACTTTTATTGTTTAAAGTTGCAAATGCAAATGATCTTTTCACCTCAGTTTTGTCTTTACTTTCACAGCAGTCCATAAAATAGTGCATTGTTACCCCTTGCAGAAGCTGATGCAGTATCGTGACACTCCAAAGGTAATGCGCTGCATGACCAACACTCCAGTGGTGGTGCGTGAGGGTGCCACTGTGTATGCCACGGGCACCTATGCAGAGGTGGAGGATGGAAAGCTTCTGGAGCAGCTGATGGCCAGTGTAGGTTACTGCACTGAGGTGGAAGAGGACCTGATTGATGCTGTTACTGGCCTGAGTGGCAGTGGCCCTGCTTATGTAAGTTATTTATAGAATATCCAATACTTTACCTGTAGCAACTGTGTGGGTGGGTGGGGTTCTGTTGGATTGCTGTCCATCATTTTGATGATTGTGCTCTTGCAGGCGTTCACAGCTGTAGATGCTCTTGCTGATGGTGGAGTGAAAATGGGCCTGCCCAGGAGACTGGCTGTACGTCTTGGAGCCCAAGCCCTGCTGGTATGTAATTTTTCTTTTAAACAAATCTATGCGTTACAGATGTGTGTTGTCTCACTTTGTTCTGTTGACAGTTTTTTTTCTTTTTCTCCCAGTTTATTGTTTTATTGATGGTCTGGGTAGGTTTCCTAAAATGGCTGGATTTTATTTATTTAGTTTTATCTTTTCAGATAGGGGAAGTTTTTAATTCTGACAGTTAAATCCAGACAAAAATTAATCACTCTTGACTCACTCACTCACGCTGGCACACTTTTATTTTATTTAAAGTCAATTTTTTTGCTCAGTCACTGAATAATTAATCAATGTTAATACTGTTCTGCCAGATGTATTCTGTCTTGGTTGGTTGTAGACACAGTTAGGATATTTAGTATCTGGATAAAGATATAAAATCAGGGTGGACACTGTACAACCTATTCACAGTGTTATGTCTTTATTTCCTCCAAGGGTGCTTCTCGAATGCTGTTGGACTCAGAGCAGCACCCTGGTCAGCTCAAGGATAATGTGTGTTCACCAGGGGGCGCCACCATCCACGCCCTACATGTCATGGAGAGCGGTGGTTTCCGCAGCCTCCTGATTAATGCTGTAGAGGCCTCCTGTGTTCGCACTAGGTAGGTCGATAAGATACAGTGTGGGACAAACAAACTAACAAATCATTTTTACTGTCACAGTGACATACAAGAAATGCTTTTAAGTTAATTGTCATAATTAGGTAAGCAAGGAGTGATTTTTTTTTTAAGTTCATAATTCAGGCAGTAGGTGGAGCTATGTGCAAATCATTTTTGAATGTCTATCTCTGCTTACTGATAATGTAGTGATAAGGTGATTATTAAGCTACTATACTATGTTATTGAAACATATGTACATTGCAAGTGTTGCAAAATATCTCAGTGTACCTGCCCTTCTCTTAAAAGGGAACTTCAGTTTTTGGCCGACCAAGAGCAAATCTCCCCAGCTGCCATTAAGAAAACAACTCTGGACCAAGTGCTGCAGCAGCAAGGAGTGAATGCAGGAACTGTGGGAGTCAGATCTCGTGGGATCAGCATGTTCAAAAACAATAATCCCAGGACCAAGAAGAACTGATCAAGGTAGATCTACCTTGAAATTGTGCAGTTTCTCGAGAAACTGCACAATTTCATGTGACAAGTGACTTCACTGATGATGCAGTAGTGTAAACCATTATGTGTTGGAAAAACTGTATGAACAATACTTTAATTTTGTAATAAAATATATTTCCTTCGTAATGTTTAATTTGTAATTGTTGGCTCCCTGTCTGAGGTTTGATTCTTGTGCTATCACATGACTTCTCTTGGTCAGTTGAGGGATTGAATAGTGTGGTTGAAATGGTCTTGGTGAATGGTAACTCTTTGAACTGCACTCAACTCATGTGGCCCTGATAGTGGTTTTTCTGAAGGTTTATTAGTTAATAATGGAACCGGTGGTATGCAGTGAGGTACTAAGCCCTGGACCATGTTGTAATGTCTGGTCATCATGGTACATGGTATGTGGGACATTGTTTTCATGCTCTGGGACTCTTTTGACACATTCTTGTGAACACGGCAACTCAAGAACAATACACAGTAGAAACTTCATTTAGACCAGAGATACCCTCTCTGGTTTAGATGAACCAGTTAGTTTTGGATGTATCTTGCCGATAAAATTGCTTATTAATGGAGTATAAATCATAAACTGAAAAAGCAACAGAAAACTAATAAAGCAATTCAAGTGGTTCTTCTTTTCAAGGTCTTGAAATTGTTATTTCTTAAAAAATGCTAAAAAAAAATCTTTAACAAAATTGACTCAATGCCACATTTTAATGATGCAATACAACTTTCCAAAGGTTTTTATTTATAAATATATATATAAACTTTTGTGTGTGTGATTTATTTGTTCCAATAAATGTTAGATACGATAAATGGCACCAGTACTTACCCCAGTTATTTAGGGGGTATTTGCAGCTACAGTGTAACTATAGGTGATGTTGTGATGTTTTTTTTTCTGAGGAAAGATCCTCCATGAATGAAGACACGTGACCAAACACGATGACGTCTGGCTTCAATACAAGAGAAAGGAATCAACAAGGATAGTACGAGCTGGCGTTGGGAAGCGCTCCTATTAGTCAGACCGAAATTCAGCTCTGCCTCTAATGCTTGGTCGTCCGTATGTTGGCATATAAAAGGACTTTGACAGCTACAACTTCAGACAGCATCATTTTTTTAAGTCAGGTGGGTCTGTAAAGCAAACGGAGTCGGCGTTGTTATGCTGAGTGTGCATGCCTTCGCCTCACCGCCGACAAACTGGTTGCTAGCTTCATAGGTTAGCATACCTAGCTTCTTAATCTATCCTCGTCGAGTTTGCCCGCTTTACACCATAATTGGGTTTTCAAACTAAGAGTGTGGCTGTTACTTAAGTGGTCAGCACGCATTTACTCACAAGTGAGATGTTTATTTTGAAAGCTAGCACCGGAAGTACGTGTGTAGTCGTCAATGTAAAGTGACTGTCGGGCTTCTACTATGCTGAGATGGCATCAAATTATTTAGTACACGTTCATGAGGTGCGAATAAAATATGTCATTCAGGTTCTGGGTCTGATGTTGGGCGACAGCCTGCAGTTTCGCGCGTACGTGGTGATTTTCCCAGTTGAGTAATCGCTCGTGCCGCTGTGTTGCTACAGTTATAGTAGGAAGACTGAGCACGGGGATTTCCTCGCTTGCTTGTTTTGTAGGCGGGGAGTTATTTGCCACTTTCACAAACAGGCGCTGAGGTCGGAGACAGAGTCGTGGTATGTCAGAACTGTGCAAATAGGTGGCTTTTGCGATAAATAGTTTGCCAAGGCGTCTCGTGTCCACTGTATCCCGCCGCTTCTCGGTGGTTTGTCAACTCATGCGCGTTTTGCTGTTCAGACCTGCTGCTTCATCACCTCGCTGGGAAAAGGAGCAAGAGCAAGCCGAGGCAGCGGTTTAGCGGGATCAGGTTGGTTGCAATATTTTCTCCTGACATTTCTGTCACATCGGAATGTGATTAGTCTGAGCAATGTGTTGTGATTTTGTGCAGCTGTAAAGAAATGCACGGATTTTCTTATTTCTTTATTGTTTGCAGTGCTTCCAAACCGCCGTTTCGTATTGAATTGTTTCACCTGATGTGACAATTCATTTAACCACTGGTTAATGTGTACCGGTGGCAGTGTCAAACCAAAGGCTGCCGTTCTCGGCTTTAATATGACAGCCAGGCAGTTAACCAGAGTATTGTTTTATGATCAGAGCCAGCAAACAAGCAGCGGTATTTTTATCATGCTGAATCATCACAATGATGTATTTAGACGTTCTCAGAATCCACCCCGAAATATGGCACCACCGGACAAAGGTCTGCACGGCGGACTGGGTCGATGTTTATCACCAAGCCACCGTTATTAAGCAGTTCAGTCGAAATGGTGTTGATCTGTCGTGCAAGTCAGTCATAAAGCCATGAGCATCAAGTGATGACCATCATGCATTTATCAATAGTCTCATATACATTCAGCTGAGAATGTGCATTTTATTGCAGCGCCGTCATGATGTACATCAACAAACGGTGTGAGTACATTCAGACTAAGTGCTTAGGTGTCAACAGCGATGTCAGATCCATTTAAAAATTGCACGATAAGCAATATATCATGCCTATGTTACAGTGGGGGGGCCTGCCATATGTGGCTGTTTAAATTGAGTCGTGTAATTATGGGAAGTTGAAAACAACACCTAATTTAGGTATTATGTGGGGGGAAATCCAAGTGTTTTGGTGTATGTGGCATGCTGTAAATGCCCGGTATAATTGTTTTGGACTACTGTTCTGAATACTATAGAGACACAGCCTTTTTCTGACATTATTTAACACCGTGTAACAGTTCTCCTATTTTGGGTTGGCAGATGCTCTTGTTTCCCTGTGCGTTACATGATGAAATTTGCTGCCTCTTAGGGTGCATGGTTATGGAGGGCAGGTAATGAATTATCCATGGAAAATCTCAGTGCAATTTGAAAAGTCACCTTGGAAACTGTTGAGCATATATAGGCCGGGCTAAACAGATAGAAGTTGCCCATTCTTGCTCAGATATCCAACTTATTTCATCACCTCTGTTCATGCGAGCAGGGCATTGAAGTGTGTTTAGCAGACAGGCCAGCCCTACATCAGAAGCTTGGCTTTGCAATAAAGCGTAATGCCCATCTCTGCCTTTCTCTGCAGGTAACAAGAACAGATGAGGGCACATATAAGAGCCCGACAGAGCTGGCAGTGGTGTGTGGATGGAGACAGGGAGTGGTGAGATCAGCTTTGAGATTTATCACCTCTTGCATTGAGGTAGCAAAGATAAAATAAGGCTGGATACCACAGAGGTGAATCAAGTGTACAACTCATACCCAGTGGCGTTGCTTAGAATGGGCAGGCGGTGGAGGGTGGAAGAGGATATGTGAGGTTGATGAAACACGAGGCAAGACTTTACAAAGCATAGAGTACAGCCTGGCCACCAACACCTCTGTATGGCCAACACAGCTGTGCCTTGGGAGTAGTTACACCTATTCAGGACAATTAATAGCCTCCAGAAAGGAACACAAATATGGGATTTGTCTGCAAAAGTGCTGCTTAAGCCACACAGGGAAATGGGAATGCCTGGAAGGAAAGCAGAAAAAGATCAATATTGTTTTTTTTCCCCCCACTTTTTTGCAGCAGGGAGGGAATGTTGGTGATGAAACTTCTTGCAAGTGTAGTGCGGATTATGATTGCTTAGCATTGCGATATGCCCGCTCCACTACTCAAATACTTTCATCCAGACAGAGTAACTAGCTTGTTTGATGAATTTCTGTTTGGAGCTTGAGTTAGACTCGGCATGTTCATTATTGCCCTTGGTGTGTTCATAATTTAGATTAGCAAATATCAGACAGATCATGGTGAGCAGAAGCATAGATCTGCTCACTGGAAGCTGTGTTTCATGTAACCTACTTCTTTCTTGGCTGATTTATCTGCTGGACATATTGGTGATAAATTGACATTAACAACAAGTGATTTAAAAATAACTCATACTTGTATAAGAAGTCAAAATGAAACTAATGAATCATGCAGGGAGGAAATTTTCAGTTCCCCTGTATTTTCATAATTTTTATGAGACAAAATTAGACTTCTGAGATGTTGTGAGATGAGTATGTATTACCTTGTATAAGGAAGTGAAAAATGGTGATACCTTGTTCTAGGATGAGTAGTGTACTGTATAACCCACATTGGAATGGAGCTCAGGTACATTAGACTACCAATAGTACTGCCTGCTATGCTTGTACTCTGCCTGGTTAAATTATGCTATGCAGCAGGATCCAGCATTTTCATTACTTGCTCTGTCCAGCCAGTATGTTTTATTGGCACCAGTAGACTAATGTCATGAATGTGAAGTATTTATATTTCTAATTTACAAAAATAAAATGAGTAAGAACTTCCCCTGGGCATTTGCTATCCCTAAATATAACATTAAGTTATTCATTTGATATTTATTCACTTATTTATTATTTAAGCTGAAGTTCCTGTTGTTACACAGTGAGCAGGTTAATGCCCAGTCTGCTGCAGAAGGACGTACTGACTGCTGTAGGAATCAAACCGACCGTCTTGCCAAAGAAAATCAAAACACTAAAAGGTGTTCTTAACCATTAGATCTTTTTTCTATCTCCAATTTCTGCTTGGATATGTGATTAATTTAGTACATTAATCTTAAATTCAGGCTGAAATATACTGTATAAGGAGCTACAGATTGAAGTGACCAACCAAGGTAGACATGAGTTGAACTTCTTTGTAATGAATGCATGATTATTAATTCAGACTAGTCTGGAGTGATGTAATTGTAATATATTTTGGACAATCACAGTGAGTGTAAGGCTCCATCAGATATCCTGTAAGCAGACATCATCAATCACTTGCCATAATTTCAACTGAGCGCAGGCGGTGTTATTAATAGAAATTAGCGGCTTTGTTACTTTCAGGTATTAACTCTACTAATGACTACATTTGAATCAAAGCGCTCCACAGGAGAAAATGAAAACGGGTCCCTTTTTTTTGTTTGGTGATACAGCTGAGCTCTGTTTGTTTGATGGCCTTATCACAGAGGGATGTTTCGATTGAAGAGAATCCACCTCAAAGATCTGTGCAGTGGTACCGTTCGGGAATGTGGATGAACGGGTTTCATTCCAAATTGCATTAAAATGTGTTGAATTGCCCTAGTTTAGCCTTTTGTGCTGCAAACGCTGTGTGGTAGCTTTTAGGTCAGTGCGATATGTATTTAATATATATGCAAGCAGTGCATTGAAGCTCCTGGATATTTCACCAGTGTGTGGGTTGCCTGAAACCCTTACTTCCTTTGCCAGTGTATCATGAGCTGTTCACTTCCTGTTTAATCAGGTCCTCCGGGCAGATGCTGTGGAAGGCCAGTGAAGTCTTTTCTCCTGTACTACTGCTTAAACTAACAGAGTTCAGAGTGTAAACAGCAGTTACTGAGGCTAGAAATAGATTCTGTATCAAAACACTGGTTAATGCAAACCAGTCTAACTCAAGTCCTTTTAAATAAGCTTCAAAGTCCCTTGAGGGCAGTGATTCATGTTTTCACTTTAAACCACATGAACTGGATGCAAATTTCAGACATAAATGTGCCACATGTTCTTATGCGTGGCATACGCTGTTTTATCTTAGGGCAACAATCCTAATGTCTATTTTTGCCTTGTGACAAATGGACTAATCAGCATTCACTCATACAGTATCTAAAGATATTTAATGTTCTCTAGTTTATACTGTTTGTCACCATCTTTCAACTTCTGTCTGTCCATCCATCCATTATACCACTTATCCTAAAGAGGGTCACGGTGGGGGGGGGGGGGGTGGAGCCAATCCCACCTGACACTGGGTGAGAGACGGGGTCCACCCTGGACAGGTCGCTAGTCTGTCACAGGGCTGACCTATAGAGACAGACAACCACACACACTCACACTCGCTCCTACGGGCATTTTAGCTGCATGTCTTTGGACTGTGGGTGGAAGCCAGAGTACCCAGAGAGAACCCACGCAGGCACAGGGAGGACATACAAACTCTCCACAGAACGGCCCCGGGCTGGCCCAGGCTCGAAGCCAGAACCTTGCTGTGAGGCGACAGCGCTAACCACTGTGCAACCATGCCGCCCCATCCTACAACTTAAAATATGTAGTTCTTTTGGGCAGATATCTTAGTAATATTGTAATTATTTATTTTTATTTTAGTTTTTATATCTAGTCATTAAACTATATAGTTATCAGCCTACAGCCGTTTACTATAATCCTGAAAGGCCAGTCTGTTCTTTAAGAGTGATCATACCACTTAAGCATTTTGCTACTTTAAATGCTGATACCACTATTAAAATTATCTTTTTAATGACTGGTAGAATTTTAAACACCTTGTCTAAATGGAGGCATCAAAATAATGATGTAATTTTTAGGCCTGATTGACTTTGTTTTGAGATGATAGGTTTAGTATATGTAGTTAAAATGCAATGCTGTGTAACATTAGAAACATGTAGGCTACCAAAGCTGCTGGCCCTTGTTTAATCATAAAAAAATAAGCTGAGATTCTAAACTCAGGGATCCTTGCAGTTTTTCCTCTTCTGTCAATTCTCCAAAATGTCATTTACACTATGTTGGGTGGGGGGAACGCACTTCCACAGTAAATCACTAAATCCTTGGATAAAACATTTCTTTACTAATTTCTTCTTCTGTTGAATATCCAATGCCATATTGAGCATCTCTCTATTCATCTACCATAACCACATCTTCCAAAAGGTTGTGATAGGATTTTATTCACGTGCTATTTTAATATTGCTCTGAACTTCCACAGGTCACAGGTATTAGCTTAGTATTTCCCCTCTACTACAAGCATATCACTTTTCCCTCTGAGAGCTGCTGAATGATTTCCCCTCTCCCTCTTTTGTCATTCTTATTTCACGCTCTAAATACTTAATAGTTAATAGCTTCCCTCCCCTCTTCTCATTGTACCTTTCTCTCACACAGACACACTTGCACGCTGTTGTCTCCATACACAGGTTTACAGCAGTCTTCCAGTAACTCTTCCAGAACTATCAGAGGAGTTTGAGTTTTAATTTGCAGTTAAATGGTGCCCGACACATGCAGCTTGCTTAGTAATTGACTTCACCCAGCTGAAGGGAGGAATGATTAGATCTGAGTATCTAGGCGATCTTTTAAACTTAGAATTAGAAGGGAGGGAGTAAAAGTCGTGGCTCTGATCAGACACGAAGTGTTGAGAACAGTTATTTATGGCATACGGAGTGAGAATGTTGGCTGGCTACATTAAGCATCTCAAACCTTAAAGAGCAAGTGGACAGAACAAAAAATAAGCACAGTGTAAAATAAGGTAACGCATAAACTGCTGACATTTCTCCTAGTTTTCACACGCTTACCTCATCATGCTTGAGCATACTTCCCTACCGAACTGAATGGGAAAACGTGTCTAAACGTTTGACTCGTGGTGTACTTTTCAGTATTTTTGTGGTGGTTATTCTATTTCCTGTGGAAAGATCATGATAATGGACAGAGAGGCTACAAGTCTCGTACATTATTGATCGGGGAAACCGAATAGGTGATCACACCGCATTCACACACAGCTCTCTTCTTTTATGTTGTGTTAATCATCTAAGATGTGCAGGTTTTTCAGGCACAATGAATTGAAAGCAGTGCTAAGCCATTTTATCATCTAAGACCTATTTTCCATTTGGACTGTAGCTCCTGTGACTTTTGTGGCTGTACAGAACTCTGGACTGTTCACAGCATAAGAAATAACTTGAAGCTGGACATATAAGCAAAATGAGCCACATTGTGTTTCTTCTCTTTTAGAGAGAACTGTATTGTTTGGTGTGAGATGATATTCAGCTGTTAGTTTCACAGAACTGAGTTGCCATTGTTGGATGCTGACTGTGTTGAAATCACAGTCTTTCATCGGCATATACCTCCACTTTCTAGTTGTATTCACTTCGTTAGCGAGCTGCCAGTGTCAAGCGCTCGGATGCTTCTGTTCAAGAATTGATCATGACAAGTTAAGTGTTTATGTGCTTGTGTGGTTTTATTAATCTGTCTCTGTGTGGATACATGGGCATGTGATTAGTTAACGTGATATGCAGTCCACTGCTATGTCTCAGTAAAGCCTGCTCCCTGTTAGTCCTCCCCAGCCGTGTTTAGTATTCAGAGAGCAGGCGCTGTCGTAATCTGGATTCTGAGGCAGGTTGCTGGGTTTTTTGTTTGCTCTTATGGCCCTGATAATCTTGTTACACTGCTGTCAAGTGGAGCTGGCTCTCCCTGCAGCCCTGAACCACTAGGCGTGCCACCTTCAGTACCAGAAATCCACCACCCTCCTCGCCCCCACCAGCCTACCGCCATTTTGAGACAGCCGTTGATGGAAGAGCCTTTGATGTATCCTTGAAGAATCACCTCCTGAGCATCTTTATTCAGCCTACCGCCCCCACCTCTGTCTCCCACCCCCACCATAGGCAGTGAATGACATTGATAAATATTCATCAGGGGATGCAGTGCATGGTTGCTGTAGCCTCAGTTCCTACTCAACAAAGGGTCCCCGAGCTAATGGTGTCCATCCTTGGCAACCCCCCCTGGAGAGATCCTGTGAGGGAATGAGCTCATTAAAGCATGACACAGGCTCAAGGCTGGACCTATCATGTCACATCAGCATTTATCCCACCAGAGTTTTTTTCACCCCCCTTTGAATCTCGACCTAAGCCGACCCCACCTTTGCAAGCTGCCCTCTATAGATTTAGATGAACACAGACAGCTTTTGAAGGTTGGCTGGGTTGCTCTCGTCGTGTTAGTTCAACTTCACAACTTCCTAATTGGCACCTTGGTTTCAGTCCTTGCTGAGATCAGTATTTTTTTTTTTTTTTCCTCTCAACCTGTTTTTCTCGGGCTCCTCTAAATGTGTCGAGCATGCATTTTACACTAGGTTGCTTTCTCTCTCTCTCTCTCTGCCTGTCTTTTTTTCCTTCTCTTCCTCTGTCTGTCCCTTTCACCATCCCCTCCTTCCCTTTCTCTGGGTGACCACACTCAGCGTTTTCTGTTTCCTGTGGGTGTGATGTCTCTCGTCTACAAGCAATCAGCTGTAATTTGTCAGCGTTCTACCAGGCGATTCATAAAAATTCAGCAAGCACCTACAAAAGACATCCTGTATCCCAGTGCTTGCCACCTACCTCCTCTGCCCCGGTGCTCCAAGCTACAGCTTTCGCCTCCTGCTCATTTTGCTAGGCATACACAAAAGCCTTGTAATGATTCTTAGGAGGTAATATGTGTCCAAGAAAGACACTGGTCTCTACTGTTCTGGACTGTCACGAGGGTGAACTTGACAAATTCAAGGTCATTTGGTTGTAATCAAATCAGTGGAGCAAGTCTGCCGTTTTTTTATTTTTGGAAAATTATAGGTGTGTTTTTCCTCTGTGTGTTTGTGTGAGCATGCCTCTTTGTCTCCATGAGGCATGACATGCCTGATAGTGGAAGGGAGCAGCTGTGCATTGGACCTTGTCTGTGTTGCGCTGCCATGCCCTGTCATTGGTAGCCGTCTGTTGGCAGTAGCCTGTGCTTGAGGGTTGCAGTCTCGGTGCAGTCCACAGTGTTATATGGTGAGCTGTGAATGTGCCAAGCTATGCCTACTCTATTACCCTCCACAGCTGTGTGACAGAATATGCCTCCACAACCTGGACAATGTGCCATCTCTCTGCATTTTAAGATTCCAACTGGTTTTTGAACATTGTTGGGTCTAGGCTGCTGAGGGGGAAATGATAGGCTTAATACAAAATTTGGAAGATGCAGTCTTTTTTTTCTGCTCTCATCCCAGTAGCTATTAGTGGAGTACTTTCCTGCCTATTTGTCCATTATCTGTGCATCATCAGGCAGACCATTATCCTATTATGTTTTGCATCTGTGGTCCAAATGCTTACTGGAAATGAGTCACCAGAAAGGCCGGTGAAAGGTAGGTGTTACTATCAGTTAGCTATTCATAGCCAGCCCAACAGGGATGAAAGTATCACATTTAAAAAGTCCTCTGCAGAATGTGAAAGACTTTTATTATGGACATCTGCAGCACAGAGACACATTGCTGTTTCACGAAGACCCATAGGCCTTTTTTTGAAGTGAAAGCATCAAGAATTCAAGTCACAATCTGACCCCATGTTATGTCCCCAGTCTGTGTGACTGTGTCATATTCAGGTCATTTTTAACAAGCGTCCGTCTCTCCCCGTTTGGCTCAGGTGACCAGTCCACCTGTGGCGCCCGTTTTGTTGCCATGGAAATATCCTGGCCATTTTAGTGCACTTCAGTACTCCGACTCATCTGCTTTCTTTCCTTCCCTCACCGAGCTCCCTGCCACACATCATACATGATGACCGGCGTAGTGGGCGTGTAGGTTATAGACACATGCGCACCCTGACAATAGTAGTTCCTTTTCTGCTGCTGCCATTCTTTCATTCCTTGTTTTAAAGGTTCTAAGAGCCCCCATGTATTTGTTTATGTGCTTAGTACAAACATGCACTGCTGGGCTGTGTAAATCAGCTCACTAAGGCAATGTGCTGCCTAGGCTGACTGTGGCGGTGCCTGAGTTGCTGACACAGCTTTTTGTGTGTATTTTAAAGCACCCAGGGCCACAAATCACTGTATATGAGTTTATATGAATGTGTGTGTGCGTGCTTATCCGGTGACAGAGCTCACACAGTGGAAGGCGCCCAACCTTCTGTCTGTCTTAACACCAGTGGGGTAGATTTCTTGCCTGCACTGTTTCTGTTGGTGTTCGATCAGTTATGTGTCAGAATAAAGTGTGTCCCTGTTATTCTGGATGGTAGCTGGGGCTCTGCAGTGGATATATACCACCCCCCACCCCAGCCCTTTGATTTATGGCATTATAGTGATATGCAGGCCGAATATAGACGGGTGTGACTGTCTAGACCGTAGAGGGAAGCCTGCCCTGCATCTCTGTGTGAATGGATTTTAGCTGAGGTTGTATGTACAGTGGGAAGGCTCAAGTCCTTTCCAGTCCATCCACATCCTTAGCTGTGTCTGCTCTGAGGGGGTGCACTTACTGGAAATGACTTCTCTTGAGTTTTGATTTCAAAGAAATTGTTGTGAATTGCTGCCAGCCAACTAAATGTCATCCTCCATGTGAGTCACCATGCCGCTGTTTGAAATGCGGTGTAGGATTCAAGTAAGAGATCTTGAAAGTACTTCACGTTGAATTGTCATACTCAACCTGATCTATATTTGAGAGGGAAATACATACCGCCAAGTCTTTTGTTCAGTGACAGCTGCTGTAATAGTCCAGGTTCCACTCGCTGAACAGATTTGGCATCACTTAGAAGGAAGTCTGAAGTCCTTGACCCACTTTTTCCCTTTTGTTGTTCAAGAACTTAGTCAGGGTTCTTTGGCAGAAAATACATTCTTATGCATTTCACAGAGATCTTTTTTCCTCGTGTACTAATGGTGACTTGTCTTAACCCACAGACCAACCAGCAGTACAGGTGGACGCGGCTCTCGTGGCATGACTACCACAAACAAGGGAAACAAGGCCTTGAAGGTAACTATCTTGGATGAAACACAACTAAGTTTGTCTAAGTGTGAATAGTTTTATATATTCATGTAACTACCAACGCAGACTAATCCCCATCTGCAGGTGAAGCGGGAGCCAGGCGAAAATGGCACCAGCCTGACAGATGATGAGCTGGTGACAATGTCAGTGCGAGAGCTAAATCAGCATCTACGGGGTCTGTCAAAGGAGGAAATTCTGCAGCTGAAGCAGAGGCGGCGTACCCTGAAGAACCGGGGCTATGCTGCCAGCTGCCGGGTGAAGCGTGTCACCCAGAAAGAGGAGCTAGAGAAGCAAAAGGCCCAGCTGCAGCAGGAAGTGGACAAGCTGGCCACAGAGAATGCCAGCATGAAGGTGGAGCTGGATGCTCTACGTTCAAAGTATGAGGCCCTCCAGAGCTTTGCCAGGACTGTGGCCCGCAACCCTGTCACCTCACCTAGGGGACCTATGGCCTCTGTCATAGGGCCCCTCATCCCTGGTAAAGTAGCTGCCACCAGCGTCATCACCATCGTCAAATCCAAAACAGAGGCTAGATCGTAGTAGCAGAAAGGGCAGGAGGAAGGTTTTCAAGACTAAACTAGTCAGTGCATTGTAACATGGGACAGGACTACCTGTGTAAGTTCTCAGTTTTACCCCCTGTCACTAACACTAACAATATCCTTCCCAAATTCTCAGCAGTCTGCGCTTATCAACACGTCCTTTAGGGTGACACAACTGAATCGAACAATTAGGGATATCACAGTTTGTTACTACTGAACGGGGGCTTATTAGAAGTGCTGAAACACTTGATTTAAAACTGTGGTTACAGATGTTCAAGAAAGCAATATTGCATCGCAAAGGTTCAAAGTGGCATCAAATTCAGACTGTTAATGGCTTGTTGATTTTTGATATGTACTTTATGTGATGTCTGTTTCCTTAAGACTGAGCTCTGAAGTCTTTCTGTCCTGAGATTTGGAATTAGCAGTCTCACAGCTTGTTATTATGCACTGACTTCAATTAGGGTAAATGGCAAATGGTCACAGACTCTTGGTGTGGATGCTACAGATGTCTTCAAAGCAGCCTGACTAACCCAAAACTAGTAAATCAGTCCAATTTGTGATTTTTTTTTTTTTTGTTGTTGGTCATCTGTCAAGAATATAAGCATGAAATAATGCTCCCAAATCTGGCATTCATTTCTGTTTATGCATCTGTGACAGGCTTTAAAGGACTTGTCATTATCAATATGACCGGTAGATGCAATAATATATGTATGCACTGAAAATACAAAGAAGTCTTGCATATTTATAGTTAAGTGGAAATGTTAATGATCAGCAGTGCTTTAGCAGTTCAGTAATGCTGTTGTTCCAGAGCTGAGTGCCATTCCAATATGACAAGATTCTTCTACAATATCTGAAAACCTGAATGTTATTACAGTAATATCCTCGTGTTTTGTGGGGACAGTGAAATCCACAAATGTTTTGAAACATAATTTTTGCTCATAGAGAACATATGTTCAAGTTGTTTTGTTTGGGTAGCTTCCCTCCCATTGTTTAAAGAAAAAAAGAAAAAAAAAAAAAAAATCCTGTGACATCTTTTTTGCAATTGTACCGAAAGTGGCTTACTATTGAAGTCTGATAGCTTTTTTTTCTAGTGACTAGGCGCGTACTGTGGGGTAGCGCGTGATGTGACGTGTAAGTGACGAGTTGGCAGTGTCGTTCACTGTATAGATGTCAATGCTGTGCTATTTAAAACAAATCTGTAGAGCTAAACTAGGTGGTGTAAACAAGGTCAGTTGTCTTTGTGAGTATTGGCATCTGTGATATCCTCCGCTTCCTTGGTGTTAGTTACAGATCATATTGTCATTAAGACTTTACCACATTTGGCCATGTAAGACAGAATTGGGTGAAATGGCATGAGTGGACATGAATTCAAAAACCTTTAGATGAAGCTTAAAGTGATGCTGGTAATGGTTGCACCTTCTGGTGGATGCCCTCTAAACACATCTTCTGTAACCTGAAGGTAATGACTTCCTTTTTGAAATGATTTTGTTATCATATTCATCTCTGCCACTTAATTGGTCTGAGCTAGGTTGCAGGATGAGAACGAGTAACCCTTCAAATGTAACAGACTAGAGGAAATGTGAAGTTAACAGAACAGTTTTAATGTGGTTTCAGAAACCCTTTCAGTTTCTCAAGGCTGTAATGATAAGAATGCATAAGTGAAATTAAAGGCTAACCACCAAATGGTGCAGCATCACTTGTGTAAATTTACCCACTGGTCTTCAGATAAAAAGCGGTAGGTTATGGTCTGGCTGAGGGTTTATATGCACTAAGCTGCTTGTTTTGCTCAGGACAAAACAGGTCACTCTAAAGATGAACAAACAGTTTTCGATGAGAAGCAGGGAGACAGGGACGGCAGCTCTGTTCTTTTTTTTATTATTATTTTATTTTTTAAATATTAAGCTTGTCATAAAGGGCTTCGATCCACACTCAGAAAGAGACAGCATGACCACATAGAATTACAATCAACAGTCGCTGCCAGCAGAGCTCCTTCTGTGCCAAGTGTCGCATCACTCTCTCGGTCCTCTAAAAGGAATTTAACAGTGAAGCAGTTTTACACCTCAAGGTGAAAATAGTTGTGTAATGAAATTAACAGAATGCACTTCATCCAGATCTCACTCTCCTACTGGTCAGAATGTCTTACAGCGTCGACGCCTCAGCAAAGCTCCATACCAGAGACCTTGGTGCCGGTTATACTGTCTGTGCGCAAATATCCTCATTTTGTCAACAAGCTTAGCTATCCGCATTGACTGGTTAACTGTGGGAAAATATATATCTGACTCTTGACATAGCCCGGTATTGATGTTGGCGTCCTTATTGCTGTGGCAGTTTTGTGGAGTGAATCTTTTTTGTGTCAAGTGTCTTTAAGGTGGTCGAGCGGCACCGTCGACCACTCTCTCAGTCTCCGCTAGAGGTGATGGCACGCTCTTTCTCACACACACAGGTGTATATTGTGTAGCTACAGTAGGTATTAATGACCGTTGTGAAAAAGTGACCCTTAATATGCAACTCAGTGGAAAGGTGTGAAAGAGTACATATAAGAGTAATCAATATTGTCAAAGTGACTATGGTCTGTTATTTAATTATTCTTGTGGTTTTATATGTTTTGTTTTGGGGTTTTTTTTGTAATATTTTTATTTTGCCCTTGGACTTTGCATCCTTAATGGAAGAGAAGTTGCCCTTGTTCATGGTGGCTAACGTAAAAATCTTAGTAGTGCACAAGTTTAAAGGAGTCATGGGACAGTTGTGCTCGAGCTTTGCTCACTGATGACCCTGTTGTTAAATTAGCTGGATTGTAGATCCTTAAATTGGGCCTAGATATCTGACTAAAAGATACTGCTGCAGTATATACTTGATGTTAGGTTTTGTGCACTGAGTCAAATGGATGCTACAGTAGATTCTCTCAAAAGGGCCACTTGCAATATCTTCTTTTCTCTTCCCCCCCCCAGTGTTGTGTGAGCTTGTGTGTGTGTGCGCGCGCGCGCGCGTTTGTGCGTGTTTGTATGATCGAGGTTCCTCCGCTGCTACACCAGTCATTAATGCTCGTTGTTTGCTGTAGTATCATTCACAGCATTTGTTCTCATTGTATGTCGTGTGTATTTGAAATTGATCTTAACACTGTAATTTGTTCTGCAGATTTACCTTTTAATTGGATATGGACATTTTTATTTTCTTGTTTTTACAAGCAACATGTTAGAGAGAATAAATAACAGCACTTGTGTGGTAGTTGGATTTAATAGCTGTCAAGACATTGGCATTTTTTTTCCATTAAATTATTCTTCATGAACAGTTTGACTGTTCGGGTTTTGTCCTCTTGCTCCATGGAGTGGGTCTGTGTTTCAAACGTATTAAAAAAAAAAAATCTGACTGAAGGGAGTGATAAAAAGTTAATAATCTCTTTTGTTATTTTTCTGTATGGGTTGTAATAAAATATTGCAGTACTTTGTATGAAACAGACAATAGTTAATTGTAACTATTTATAAATTATTGTACTTTTTGCAATCTGTAGATAAGTACTGTGTATTCATATATGCAGTAACAACTGTGGATTTAAACGTGATTCTCTGAGGTGTCTAAGTTATTGATGTATATATTGTATGTTTGTTGATACAGTTTATTTTCTATAAGACCAATAAAATGTTTTGAAAATGATTTTAAGCACTAATGCTCTGTCTTTGGAGGCTTTTAAACACTGTTGAAATTAGGTTTTGTCATATTCTGTGGCGTCATTGACCCAGTTTGATTCCTGTAAAAATAAACTGGTGGGGAAGGTTTTCTGCCGTCCAGGGTGGGTTTCAGAAGACAGCGATCATTTAGATGGCACGATTTCTTCTGTGATCCAAAAAAAGCTGCTGGGTGACCCACTTTGGCTAACCTCAGTGGGCATATTTTTGGCCTGACACGAGTAAAACATTAGAGTCATGAAGGATGTCTAGGTGTGCTTGTCCTAGATTAGAAGGAGTAGTGAGTTAGTCATCTCTGCTCCCTATGGGGCTCCTAAACCCCCCTCTGTCTCAGTTCACCTCATCAAACAGCAGCATTTCAACCCCAGCACACTCAAAACGCATCTCAAGAGAGAACATGCAGAGACAGATGGCTGAAGACAAGTTACATCCTTACCACACTATCCTGCAGGGTATGTTTAAATCCCAGTGCTTCAGCGCAAATGCAGTGTGGCGTTCCTCTTCCCTTTTATTAAAGAGAGGCGGCTCCTACAGGTCTGTGTGACCTGTGTGTTAAACTCTCCCTCCTGCCCTGGCTGCCAGCCCCAGACAACCACATGGCCTCTGAAGAGCTGATTAATTTGATGGGGTGGGCTAAGGTGAGCTTGTGGCCAATCTAGGACAGCATTCCTCATCTACACCCACTTCTGCAGCAGGTGCCTGCCCCACTTCTCAGACCACAGCCCACTCTACAATTAATGTTGCCATCCCCATCAGCAAGGCCGTTCGTTTACCTGCAATGCCAAAGCTTGGCTCCACTATGTACAGTGAATGTCACCATGGCAGAGGACATGCCCGTTTGTCAGACATACACTGGGCAGCAGGTATATTTAATCTTGTTGACCTCAGCAATTATTTCAATCAAGTAAAGCTGTTGTGATGGTGAATACGAATTAGCCACAGAAATTCTTATCCTCAATCAAACATCACCATTTCACTCGGTGTGCATTTCTGTCCCAGTGAAACGTTTCAATTAGACTGCAGAGATCAATTCATGTGGTGGAAAGTAACTAAGTACATTTACTCAAGTACTGTACTTAAGTACAATTTTGAGGTATTTGTATTTGAGTATTTTCATTTTTCTGTAACTTCATACTTTGACTTCCCTACATTTTAGAGGCAAATATTCTACTTTTAACTTTAGTTACTTTTCATAACCAAATTAGTAACAGAAATACACAATATAATGATCAGACCTCACTGATCTGTGGTGGGAGATTCACAAGATATCCAGGAGTATTTCAAATTAAATGCATACAAGCTTGTTAAAGCTAGCTCCCCCTTTACCAGCTGCAACATTAAATGTGATGTACACAATAATGCATCAGTAGTTATAATACAACAATATGATATACAGGAATGTGAAATTAAGCATTTTACATGTAGTACTTTAAGTATATTTTGATGCTAATACTTTTGTACTTAAGTAACATTTTCAATGCAGGACTTTTACTTGTAACAGAGTATTTTTACACTAAGTAAAGGATCTGAGTACTTGCCACCACTGTGCATTTATATCAGCTTAGCAATATTTGGGCACAGGCTTCCCTCTGCTGGCACTTTAGTATAAAAACACTGTGTGATTAAAGGAGTTTATTCACAAGATGGCGCCACATTCTCTTAACAAGGATCCCCTTGCAGTGCATAGTTTTAACAAACAATTATGAAATATTGTCTAAAACCCACTTCCATCAAGTCACACATTTTTATAGCAAGCTGCTACTGGCATGCTGTAACTTACCAGTTTGTTAGAAACACGTTAACAGTTCTGTAGCAGATCTTTATTGTTAAGACTCTGCTGCCACTACGTGTGTCAGAGAAGGAATATTAGTGATGTCGTACTGGACTGCATTTATATTGAGAGGTGCCCAAATAGGTGTGTAATATTCTGTCCCACTCATTTATAAGTTGTAAATGATGATGGACAAAACATGAGACATGCCAGTCACTACAACACACAACTAGGTTACTTCACAGTGGAATGAACATAGTGAATGAAGGTAAGGAAATCAATAAAAATGAACAGTGTTAAGGTTGAGATTTATTGTAGGCCTGTTTGATTGCATAATGAGTTTAAATCAGTGCAAAGATATTTTCTTGTTGGATATGATCTCAGTAGTCACCACAGGTTTGACCTAATATTTTAATAAATGTTGGACATATTTGTGCCTCGCGCTGGTGACAGATGCAGCCGGAGGCATTATGTTTTTGGGTTGTCCATCCGTCTGTACGGCCCATTTTTGTGAACGCCATATCTCAGGAACGCCTTGGGGGAATTTCTTCAAATTTGGCTCAAGTGTCCACTTGTGCTCAATGATAAACTCATTACATTTCAATGGTCAAGGTCAGTAACCTCATTTCTGTCCCATACCTGTGAAATTGACTGGTTGCATAGACCAAGCGGTAATTCTAGTTTAGTCTATGTTATATGTGGTGTAGTACAGATTTAAAAGGATGTATTGTGTTGTGATGCTGTGGTGGTGTCTGTTCAGGCACGTGGGCCCCACAGGATGTTTTTTGGTGGTACAGTATGTAGTCCCCAGGTGGGCTTTGAGTGTGTGAGTGGCAGTACCCTGCAGCAGGCAAGAAAGAAGCCATCTGTGTTTAGTAGCTGCATTTCATTTTTCACCAAATAAATATCTCCACTATGTTCTGACACAGCAATATATCTATAAATTCAGATTATACATATAATGTAACTCTGGCCAGTGATTTTACATGTTGCAATCTCTATTTCTCCAATGTATTACTTAATGTTAGTTGCAAAAAATGTAATCTCTATTACTACTACTACGACAAGGACTACTACGACAATAGTATTTTATTTCATTTTTCGAGAAGGACATAGGAAGAATAGCCTTTCTAGGCTACAGTTTTAAATATTTTAGTTATTTTGTTAATCGTGTTTTGGTATTGTAAATAAATAAGTAGCATAAATAAAATTAAATAGGATGTAAAATACATTATTATAGTGGTTTTATTTGTTTGTTTGTTTTTCCTAAGATTTATTTTTGTTGTTCAATGTTTCGTAAAACTGCAACACATCAGTTACAGATCACAACTGGTATATAATCAAAAACTGATTGTTTGTGAGAATCTAAATATTGTCACATGACAGTGGAAACGCCGCTAGTCACCGTACCAACATGGCGGCTGGCGCACCGGCGCTTCACGGATTCAGCCTTCGTCAGGTTTGACAATATAAAGACCGAGCTTAATGTCCGGACTTTTCAGAGTAAAATCAGTCATTTCAACGATGTGTTGCATCGGGTTTCATGAATGGAGCTCCCTTCCTCTGTGCCTTATCTGCTGTTGTTGGCGGACTTGACGCATCGGGCGTCGTGCGTCGCCGGTAGAGGAGGTGTTGGCGCATCGCGTTACTGCTGCTGCTGCCACACAAATCGTCTGTCCTGCACTGAAAGAGGGGACACAACTAAGACGGGCTGCTCGACATCACATCAGAGGGGTGTCGCAGCAATAGGCTTCACCTTTAGATATTATCACCTGCTTCACAATGATCAAGAACGGGCATCACAACCACCACCAAGCGAACAACGTCCCAGCAACTGGGAAAGACGCAGGGACGACTCCCGGCGCTATAGCTTGCAGCCCCGAGAAGAGGAGGCGAAGAATCCGGGTGTGGTGCGATGGATGGTGAGTAACTTACTGGGTGACTGATTGTGAGATGAAGATGCTGCAGCACCGTGGGCCTGTGTGTCGTTTCCATCGAGCGCGTTTGACTGAATGTGGCAGCTTGACATCTACTACCGCGGCGGGCCTGCTGCAGGTGGGGCTCCCATTTACTCCATTCTCTAGACATCACACATTAAATTGTACATTGAGTAGACTATAAAGGTCTAACAGGTAACCAGTGTAACGCGGGGCTTTACATTACAAAGGTACGGAGGTATCCAAACCTTAATAATGTTCCTTCTCAGTAGACACCTAACAGCAACAGGACAGATTTATCCTGATCTGTGTCATGTAGAGCCTCCAACCATGTTTATACTGCCAGTGATGAATGACATAAAGTAAGTGACATACAGTAAGCGTCTGGTACGACTGAGTGCAGGCTTTTGCTTAAGTCCCAGGCAACGGAAATGTATCATCAGTGGTTCTTTTGTATATTCAGCCTGTTTCCATTCAGTAAAATCCCCAAATTAGCACAATCAAGAAGTCATACTGCCTTGAACATGTTCAGTGGGTGATAATGATCATGCTGAAATGTATAATGGTATCCATGAAGCTGAAACAAATTAGCTGTAATTACTAGTAAATGTACACCACTATATCTTTGTCTAGGCCAAAAATACCCAAGTTGTTCATTCATCAAAAGAAAATGATTAACAAAGACTACTATTAAGCCGTTCCACACTTTAAATGCAAATTTGTTTAAAAATATGTATTAATTACATATTTTAAAGAAAGAAAATAATGAATAGAATAGAATTCTTCTATTCTTATGAATAAAAACTGTGCAACTTGCTGACATTTTTCTGTCACTTGCCAAAACTTCTTTTGTCGGCTGTGAGAAATGTGTAAAAGCTGCAGGAACCTGTCTGTTGTGTTCCTCCTCGTGTCTCCTTATGTAATGATAATATTAAGAAAACCTACAATTAATCTGGGATTCAGTTTCAGGGTTCAGTGTGGGACTACATGGACCACCAGCACAATGTGAACATGGCCTTTAATACTGAGGTGATGGATAAATGAAAACATCGCTGTGGGAGGAGCAAGGCCAACCATGGAAACAGAGCACTTGTTTTTACATTAGATAGAAAAATGATGGACATATAAAGATATAGGATTTTCAAAAAAGCTTTTGTTGGCTCTGTCTCTGCATCTTAAATATTTTTTGTATCAGTTAATGTGGTTCAAATATTTACAAAACAATTTTTCAAAAAAAAAAAATCATCAGAGAGGTAAAAGTTCTGCTTGCTCTTCTTGTCGTGTAATAACTTTGTAACAGTTTAGTCCAAATTTCAATCTCCATGTTTTTTCTTAGTACTGGGCTTATAACTGAATTTCAAAACCCAATGTACAATGTCAGAAATACACTGGCATCCAACTAAAACCACTTGTGTTAACCCCAACCTCAACCCTTGTTAAATTTGTGAGTGATGAGGGCCAGCACATTCTTTATGGTGTGTTCCATCAGCGCTTTAATATTTTAGTCGCTTTACTTTGGTGCTTTCAAGAGAGCTGAGCTCCTCTTTAGACGTTTAAATACAGAATACTTCTTTTGTGGACTGGCCAGTGCCTAAATCTCAGTTTTACATTAAAAAACAAGGTAGTAATCCCCATTGACTTTTAAAGGAACATTTTGCCCACATTGTCAGCAAACATCCATTTAATCATGCAGAAGGGTTTGGGTTTATTCGAGAGGTTTTGACATCTCTGGTGTTTAGCAAAGTAATGAACGTAAATGGAATTTTGTTTACAGCGCTCATGGCATTGAAATGTCGCATTTGAAAAACTCAACAACAACAGCATCCTTCCAGAAACATTGGCAATAGCCCTTACCCTGAAGTGTTTTCAGCTGAACGTGGGAAATATTAAAACCTGTTGACAGTGAGGGCTTTGGATGATCAATAGTAAACTGGACAGTGGTGAAAACCACATTCTTTTCACCCCTGTTTTATTGAGTTGGAAATGGAGTTTTCTGCAGTAGTTATCTCAGAAATGTGGGTGAACTGAGTAGAGCTGCAGCGATTTATTGATTAGTTATTGACAGAAAATGAATTGCCTGCTCTTGCCTGCTGATATTTGAACAATGGTTTGAGACATTTTCCAAGCAGAAATGCCAAATATTCTTTGGTTCCAGCTTTTAAAACATGAGGATTTGATGCTTTTCATAGTTATGTGTAATAGCAACAGTGGTGGAAGAGGTACTCAGATCCCTTACTTAAGTAAAAGTAGCAATACTGCTGAGTAAAAATACTCAGTTACAAGTAAAGGTCCTCATTCAAAAGTACTCATTATGCAGAATGGCACATTTAACATTAATGTATATCATATTATTGGGATGTACATTGCCTGAGCACTTTATTAGGTACATCTGTGTGCAACACTTCCACCTAAACATCTGTGTTTATGAAGCTCAAAGTGTTTCAGTGAAATTGGCAGAAATGTATACATTCAATTATATGTTTATTATTGAGGTCATTCTTAAAGGTGGTGTTATATTCAGAGGTTTTCCTAATATTCTGTCTCTCTCATGTATGTATCTGGAGTACTTTAGTAAATGCACTTAACGTACTCTTCAACACTAGATAGCAAACTGAAAATCTTTAGGTTCTAGTTAAATAAAACAAGCTATTTAAAAATGCCACCTTTAGCTTTTTGAAAGCATAACAGGCATTTTCAGTATATTTTCTGCCTTTTTTAAAATAGACAAAACTATTAATTGATTAACCGTAGAATTAGTCATTTAAAGTGCATGACTGCATCCTCTGGGAGAAGGACCAACCCTTGGCAGATGAAGTCTGGCTCCGTGCTGCAGCGGCAAGATAAATATTTTAGATTTCAATGTATGATGGTGGCTTTCTCCAGAAAATTCTTGTCATTTAGATGTGGCTGCCTATCCATGGTTTGATGGCATGTTGCAGAATATTTGGGATGCCAGAATATTGGTGGGGTGAGCACGCAAAGAAAGTCAGTGTCAACAGAGCTGATGTCATTAACCCCTCTAAACCCTGCGGCCCACACATGCTCGTACAGCAGTCGCCATCGCCGAGCATGTTGTTTCACGAATTTAGACATTACCTCGTTCTTACAGACATCCAGCACTGTCAGCAGTATGAGAGGAAAATTCCAAGGAAACAGTGTGGTCACCTCATCTGTTGAAACATGTTTGACCCTGGCCCTTCTTCTCTGCACAAAGGGGCTTTCTGTTAATATTTGTCCCTTTGGAAAGAGATGACAGAGGTTAAAGATCAGTTGTCAGAGAAGCATCATCATGGAGGCGGTTAAAGTCCACTTCCACTGTGATGATGTGGTGTGTACATACAAGACTATAAATGTGCTTTTTAAAGCCTCAATGGTGTGATGTGATTCATTCATTCATTTTCTACCGCTTAGTCCCTGAACAGGGTCACGGGCGGGGGGGGCGGAGCCAATCCCGGCCGGCAATTGGGCGAAGGCAGGGTACACCCTGGACAGGTCACCAATCCATCGCAGGGCTAACACATAGACGAACAACCACACACACACACTCCTATGGGCAATTTAGAGACACCAGTCAACCTAAGCTGCATGTCTTTGGACTGTGGGAGGAAGCCGGAGTACCCGGAGAGAACCCACGCAAGCACGGGGAGAACATGCAAACTCCACACAGAAAGGTCCTAGGTGGGGCCCGAACTTTTGCTGTGAGGCAACAGCGCTAACCACTGTGCCACCGTGCTGCCCCTGATGTGATTCATTCCAGGCTTATCTGCCAAAAAAAAAAGCCACGTGTCTCCATGTATTTTAAATAGTGGGTGAACTGAGTAGAGCAAATAGACTGATGCAAAAATATCAAGATTATTGTTTTTGTGCTCCCTGTTGCCATCATATGTTTACCAGCATTGTCTACACATGTCCCATTACTTTCACTGTGGACACGATGTCTGTCTAGTTTGGTTTGTGAGAAGCGTGGATGTTGTTTGGGTGTCTGATAACAGGCTACA